CTTCCTGAAAGTGTCCCCTTCGAGTCACACAAGACCACGCCCCCAGCCTGGCCCTGCGGGTGCCCTCGTGCGGGTGGGTCCACGGGAGAGTGTGTAGACCATGCAGGAAGGAGAGGCCACTCAGGGAGGTGAGGACTGTGTTTGACCCGGTGGGCATGACGCCCCCGCACGCCTGCTGCCAGCAGAAGGGACGTGACGTGACGGAGCCGTCGTGTCTCGGGGAATGACTCTCCTTTTTCCATTGGCGCAGGAAATCCAGAAATCCACGTGCGAGGAAGGCTGACTTGCCCCTCCAAAGAGCTGGGGCAGATGGCGCGTGGTGTCAGGCAGCACGGACCTTCCGGACCCTTGAAAGCCCTCAAAGGGAAGACTCAACGGAGAGTCCCCGTGGCGCCCAGGGTGCCCAGGCCAGAGGACGAGGATCCTCGGGTAAGTGGAGCCCTGCAGGAGTGGTGAGCCAGTGGGCGGGGTGGAGGGGGAGGGTCGGCGGTGGGGGGAAGCCACGACCCTGGAGATGAGGACCGCACCTGACGGGCTCTGTGTCCACGAGGCAGTCGTCCTCTCCGAGCCCAGGATGGCCTGCCTTGGCCTCTCAGCAGCCCGCCCATCGGGATCACCTCAGTCGGCTGGAGGGTCCCGTCCAGGCCGCTCTTTGGCCCCATCTTTCCGTGTGGCTCATTCGACTCAGCCTGAGACCTGCAACCGCAGCTCGTGACCCGTCCCTCTGAGAGCCTTGGGGAGAATCCTATGCGCTCCTGTCTCCTGGCTCCTCGCGAGCCGTCCACGATGGGCCTGGGCCCAAAGCAGTCCTGCACTCCCGGGGTGGGTCCTTCTCGTGTCCTTTGCAATTGCATTGTGATTAGTGCTGATTCACTGAGTCCTTCCTTCTTCATCCACAGCTCAAGTGTAAGGACTGCAGTGCCTTTGGGCACAAGGTGTCTAGCACCAGGTGCCCCATGAATGGGTCCCTGGCCTCCGAGGCCTTGGCTCACATTGCCTTCTCTTGTCTGGAGACGAGCAGTGAGCACCTGGCCAACCGCTGGACGCCGTGATGCCCCGGGTGTGGGGGCCCCTGAGCCGCCTTCCCCGGCACGCCAACGCTCTGCCCGGGATCCCGGCCTCGTCGTCCAGCCGACTGAACACAGGCCCCGATGGGCCTCCCGTGAGGGTCCGCAGGCCGTCTCCAAGGCGCATGGCCTTGGCCACGCCCAGGCACCAGCCATGCGTCCTGAGGTCGAGTCTCCTCCTCCCGCAACCCGACGGGCTCCCGTCGCCCAGCCCCACATGCAGGCACCAGCCAAGAGATGGGCCCCGATCCCCGACGAGACGTGCCAGAGCCCCCGAAAGAAAGCGCGCTGGAGCCCCTTCCAACAACCCCCCAGGAGCGCAGGGAGCACCCACGTGGGGCTTGCCCAGAGCCTGTGTCTTCCCGCAAGGGGGAGTGCATGTGGCCCCCCAGGGGCAGCGTGCGCGACCCGGAAGACACCTGCCTCGGTGCATGGCCTGGGCCTCCAGCCTCCACGGCCCCGACCTCAGCTGGACGTCGTCCGGCCGTGCACCGTGCCCCCGTGTCCACCCTGTCCCCAGGCTCCCGGCCAGCCCGTGCGCATGGTCTTCCGCCGACTGTACAAAGGCGGCTGGAGCTCCAGCTTCCTAGCAGCTCCCTCACCGCCACCTCCCCCCGAGAGGCCAGCCCACCCTGCTCAGGGCCCTCCTGTCACACACGTGCCTCAGGGTCCCTGTGTGCCTGTGCCTCGGAGCGTCCTCTACGATGACCTGCAGCTTTCGTCGTCCTTGTATGACTATGATTGGCTCTGAGACACTTCATGGCCTCATAGACTTGTCTTCTGACTCAGTGATCCGAGGCAACTCTTTAATTTAGGACACATTTAAGGTTGGGGTGTTTATGGTGAATCAGCAATTCCTCTGTTTGGCTCAATATACAAAGTTGGAGCCCTGGTCATATTTTGATGTCATGTTTGTGTCATGTGTATACATACATCCCTTCCCCCAACACCAAATACACTTTTTCTTTCAGTAATATATATTTCACATGATACTTATCGATGTTTATGTAAAGCCTATTTTGTTTAAATACATTTTTAAGATTTTTTTATGTAAATATAACCTATGAAATTAGATGTATTTGGTTTACAAAGTCTGAATTTGGGGATCTAATTTTTTTTTTTTTTTTATTTCTAGGAGAGAGAGAGAGACAGCGTGAGCAGGGGAGGGTCAGAGAGAGAGGGAGTCACAGACTGAAACAGGCTCCAGGCTCTGAGCTGGCAGTCAGCACAGAGACTGACGCGGGGCTCGAACCCACAAACCTCGAGATCATGACCTAAGTGAAAGTCAGACGCTTAACCGACTAAGCCACCCAGGCGCCCCATGAATTTGGGGATCTAAATAAAGGATCCCAGTGTTTGCTCCACAAATTTGCAGCAGCGTTTTCCCCTGAGAAGAAATTTGGTAGACTCTGGGGTGGTCTTTTTGTGGAAATTGTAACAGAGACTATATTATCTTGTTTTTCTAATTGTTGTTATTAAATGTTAAAATGAAGTTGTGGGGTTTTTTTCCCCATATTTAATACAATACAACTTTTTTAAGAGGACATAATATGCATTGATTTTTTTGCTCATCTTTTTTTCATCTTTTCCTATAAAATTGTTGGGTTTTCCATGGAAAGTTTTAGACATTAGTATCTTTGGCATTATTAGAATGAGGTCACAGATTGCCCTCCTCCTTGTAGTGACCTCAGCCAGTCCATTCCAGGCCTTTCTGGAGCACAAAGCTGACCCATTGCCCAGGACTGACCCTTTGCCTGTCTGAGTGCTTAGGTACTGACATGTCGATTCTTCCTGGGTCCTGAGTCAGCTGCCTTCGTACTTGAATAACACCCCACCTTGTCCTGGTCTCCAAAGCTCAGAACTGCCCCAGATCTTCCAAGTGGGTAGTCAGGATGGGGAATTGGCTCAAAAGGACCATTTTACTATCTGTTTCTCTGTCATCTCTATCCGTCATCTATCTATGTGTCTGTCATCTATCTCTCCTGTCTTCATCATGTCTCTATTATCTATCTTTGGAGTGTCTTTCTGGTATTTAAATTGTATCAGTTATTTGCCATACTTTGTGAGTGATGTGTGAATTCAAATGCCTTTGGATGAATGTGGATGACATCCATAATTGTTTAGTTTTCTAAATATATTCTAAGTATGTTTTAAGTTCACATTTGTCAATATCTTTGTAATCTGGACTCTTTAACAGATTATACTTATTGTGAAAATAAAGATAGCTTACTCTGTTACCCATATTTGCTTTCTTCTTGTGAATATTTTGTTTCAGCTATGGATTGGAGCCATGTCCAGGATGAACTGTGTAGGAAATATATTATTTTATTTTAAGCTAATGAAAGATGAAATATTTACTATTTTCAGGCATATTTTTAGGCATGGCTGTGCTCTCACATGAACAGGTAAAAAACATGGTCATACTGCCTTTTTTGTAGCCTCATTAATATCCTTATAAATTGAGGGGTGAATTACGTGAATTAAAATTTCCTTGAGAAATTCAGTTTAGGTCGGCCGGGTTTGTTGGCCCAAATAACACTGTTCCTATTGCTAGAATTGTTGCAACACTACCCTAAATGAGGGCATCTACTGGTTTTACCATATGCAATCTCGTTTGTTAATGGTCAGCATTTTTTAAATTTAATATCTTGACTGAAGTGGATTTATATTTTAAAAGAAAAGTTCCTGGAATCACTGGAAAACATATTATTACCAGTGGCCTGAGCATCTCAGTGTTCTCTGTTTTAGCTCAGGGTCCAGGGCCCAGCATGGCCAAAATTAAGAGTCACAAGGAAGGAAGCCTAGACCCACCAGACCTCCTGTAAATGTTCACAGTCGCATTTATGCTCCAGAAATACTCAGGCTGCATTGCAAGGCATGGAGACTCAGACCTGGCTGCCTGCCTGAGCAACTGCACAACATCAGGTCCTCCAGGAAGTCTATGTAATGCCTGTGCTGGCCAGTGCCGCCCCCTGCTGGTCAGAGAGCAGCGTGCAAGACTCCCTCTTGTGACCTCCCCTATGGATTGCAAAGCCAGGTGTGTGGACTTCCTCAGGTGTGGGTGGAACCCGTGTCAGAGGTCAGCCAGGAGGAGCTGGCCATAGTCGTCCAGGGAGCTGAATGGATGCTTAAGGAGGCCTTCATGGGATCCAGCTCAAATAGTGTCTGTGCCTGTGTGTGATACCGATGTCAATCTAGGAAGAGAAGTTTGGATCCCAAAATTTCTACAGGATGACCTAGCATGGTTAATTTTCTGTGACTTTACCCTTCATTGCTCAGGTGTGCATACACTGTTTACATTTTACCCAAGATTCTGCCAAATTTAGAATCAAATCAACAATGAAAATGGATTTCATCTGTCAAAGTCATTCAAGATCTAACATTTAGTTAGCCCAGTTGAACTCTTCCAACTAAAAAGTGCAACGTCATCACTCATATGTGGAATATTTAACAAAACAGATGAACATAAGACAAGAAAAGGAAAAATAAAGTAAAATCAGAGAGGGAGGCAATTCATTGGAGACTCAAAAATTTTTTTTAAATCTTTTTTTTTTCTTGAGAGAGAGAGAGAGTCAGAACATGAGCAGGGGAGGGGCAGACACACACACACACACACACATGCACACGCACACACACACACACAATCTGAAGCAGGTTCCAGGCACTAACCTGTCAGCATAGAGCCCGATGCACGGCTCCAACTCTCAAACCCCAAGATCATGACCCAATCCAAAATTGGACCCGTAATGGACTGAGTCACCCAGGTGTCCCAGAAGACTCAACTATAGAGAACAAACTGAGGGTTGCTAGAGGGGAGTAGGGAGGGGGGACAGACAAAATGGGTGATGGGCATTATGGAGGGCACTTGTGGGGATTAGCACAAGGTATTACATGTAAGTGATGAAGCACTAAGTTCTCCTCCTGAAATAAGACTACATTAAATGTTTTGTAACTAACTTAAATTTAAATTTAAAAATATATACTAAGGAAAAGAAAAAAGATATCTTTTACCTCTGTCGGCTATGATATTTGAAAATCCAGAATTAAATATGATATCCTGTACAAAATTTAAATATTGACATTTGTTTCTACTAAGCGTGACATGTGTATGTTTAATGCAGACTGAAAAAAAAAAACAGTATTTACCTTTCAATGCCATTGGCAAACGACCAGATTACTCCTATGTGGTTCCCCTCACATAGGAGTCATTTAAGGATCATGCACTAATGCCCATTCTGCAAATGTATTTAGTCAGTGTCTCTCCTAAGAAATAGAATTATGACTTAGCACCCATCCATATCCTGACCTTAAATACCACATCGCTACCGAGGTGTCCACATGAGACTGTTTTTCTGACATGTACAACTGAGGACCAGGATTGGAATGGAACCAACTGGAAATCTGTGCTTCCTCCTGTGTGGAGGAGATTGTAGATGGGGGACAGTAGCAAACTCTGCGGGACAAGATAGAGTTGCTTGGTGGCTCAGTGATTATGGGTGGGAAAATGTTCCTGTCCACCAGCTTCTCTGCAGTCTCATGGGAATGGGATTGTTAAGGGAACTTAATTTAATCAATATGGGCCAATAAGGCTCCATCCACTTAGAAGATATAGTGGCACCTGTGTGGCTCAGTTGATTGTCTGTGCTGACAGCTCAGAGCCCGGAGCCTGTTTCAGATTCTGTGTCTCCCTCTCTCTCTGTCCCTCCCCAGCTTGTGCTCTGTCTCTGTCTCAAAAAAACAAAACCAAAACAAAACATCAAAAAAATAAAAAAACATAGTAGGAGATGTGTGAGAAGGATATACGGAATGGAAGTACATTTTTGTTGAAGGTAAAGGAAAGTAATTTTGTCCTAAATAACCTGGTTGTTTGAAGAAAAATAGCTTGGGACAAAATGTGAAGGCAAAGGAAAGTTGTAGGAGGTTCATGAAGGGAAATCTTTGGAAAGGAATTTTATGTGTGGTCAGGATGGACTAAGGTTGCAATGAATGGGCTTTAAAAATACACTAGTATAAGATCTGCTTTTCTCTCTGTTCAAAATGCAAAGTTTTCTTGAACTGTTGATCTGCTCTTGATAAGAATAATGTAAACAAAGGTTGTTTCTCTTTTGTCTCCCAGGAAAATTAAAGCTTTATGTTTCTTCTTGATCAGGTCTTTGATTACTTAGTTAAAATTTCTCAATGTTAAAGGAGCTAAGCTTTGCTAACAACTGTATAACCGTATATATTTCCTTTGAGATTTTTTATTCCACCTTAGTTAAATAAATAATTTAAAGTTTAAAGATTTTTAATGATATGTAATCCTTTTTAGGATATATTTTATAACTTTCTAAGGTTTTAACAAATTTCCCAGGATTTAAATTGTAAGTGAAGTCTTTGACCAATTAGGCTTTTTTTTGGGGGGGGAGGGGTATGGTAAGTTATTCTGGAAACACTGTCAAACAAATAATGGTATACCTGAGGCTATATTGTTTAGGCAAATGCTGTAACTGCTCAAATTTAAATACAATTCCTAAAGTTTTAATATATTTTGGTAATATGGCCCTCAGTTGATATTCTGATTATTGAAGTGTTATGTGTCACAGAAATAACTGAATTTCCTTATCAATTGCATCGTAATGAACTCTCATCAGATTGTTAACCATCTCCATTTCTGATATGTTGTCATTTATGATTATTTTGATGTCCTTACAAAATTTTCTTCAAGATTTATACAAAGGACTTTAGGATAAATACAGGTATTTGACGTCTTTA